GTTGGGGTCCGAAAGACTCCACAACTGGTTGGTTGGAGACACTGAAGGATATGGCAGCGAACCGGCAGCAGTGGCGTTCTTGTTGTCGTTTCTTACCAGGTCAGAATGCTTGAAACGGTATGTATGCAGAGTTCGATTGCGTACTGTGTTGACCATGGTGGCTCATCTTCTTCTCCCTCCCTCAAAATAGATCCAATCCCTGTCCACCTTAAATTTTACCACTAACCTTGTATGCATTGCGAGTTTGGCAGCGATCAATGAAGTTCGCTTCACTGTATTTAGCTGTACGATGATGATGACTCGAAGTCAACCGGCCTACTCTAGCATTCATATCTCCTGGTAAAATCACGATGTCACCCCGGGTCGCTTTACGCAAGAGGTCGTGAAGATTGTGGTAAAATTCATCTTTGGCTGCATCTGGACTGCAGTCCGTTGGAGCGTACGCCGAAACAACAAACACGTTTCGTCTATCGTGGGGATGGCTGCTTACCTTGCACGAACCTCTGAGTCTCACTGCGCACAACCTACTATCGACTGGGATCCAGCCCAGGAGGGTGACTTCAGCTCTCACTGAGAGCCACACCGACGCCAGCGAGACCGGAAGCCGCAGCCTCAGGGTCCCCAGAGAGGCGTAAGTGAAACTTCACTGATGGGTTTGACAGAGACGTCAATCGGATAACGAAGCTAAAGTCTTGAATGCGAGTTTCTTGGATACAACACACATCGATGGCTAGGGGTTCCAGTGTACGAGCTAAACCGGTCTGTTGTCCTATACGCATCAGAGTACGCACATTAAACGTGGATAGTTTGAAGGGACATCGAGGGCATAGAAGGGCTTTAGCTGATGGAGGATTCGGTAAGACTTGAATGCTAGTCGAGGTAGGACAAGAGTGTACAGCGGCAGAATTTCCGCCCGAGGTACTACTGTTAATACGACCGTCTGAATCACCCGAGGAAGATGGAGGAGTGTTGGGGAGGTAGAGGTGAGCTGGGGGGAGGCTGGGAGAACAAGAGGGTGTGTACGGTGTAGAATGTTTTTTTCAGGATGAAAAAGCATCAGAGTACATAATCGTAAGAGCTCTGCTCTGTTTTCATCTAACACCGACTTTCAATACGACTCTCCTCGAACGGATACATGGTATTCTGTTTCAACGGAAAAGTTGACCACATACCTGTAAGCTACGATTGGCGTGGTTCGATACAAAATTTCAGATCCTGTTAGACCACCTGCGTTGAGTCGGATCATGTTCTAGTTCTGTGGCGCTTCAC